GGGAAGGTCCTGGAGGCTGGAGTCTTGCCTACAAGAAACAGGGGATGAAAAAGGCCTCCGTTCCCAGGGGCCCCACAGGGCATCGCTTGGTTTCACCCACATACCTTGGATATTTCTCAGACTAGTTCAGTGGGGTATATTTGAACTAAATAGAGAAAATCCTTCTCTTGCAGCAATTAAATACCCGCAGTGAGAGCCCACTTTCATTACCATCATAACCATGGACACTGCAAGGGGAAGAATGACCCTGCCTTTGGCATCAAGACTATTGCTTGGGGCCTCCTATGTGGCCTGCATCAGTGAATCAGGTGAGGATAAATTATTTATCCAATCTGAAAAAGACTGAAGTCAAATATCATAAGACGAAAAGGTAGTGCAGTCATCACCCGGTGGCTCTGCTGGCTTGATAAGTAAAATCAAAGATACAGAGGGCTATAACCAAGGAGAATTAGCTAAACTACCACATTCTATTTAATCACAGTTCATAAGAGCTCCCCTAGCTTCTGCTGAAGTTACTTCAACAATATCACTTACCTCTAGAGGAAAGTAAGGGACTAATGGGAAGAGTTCATTGGTATTTACTTCAAAACAAAAGAGAAAGTGAAGGTCACTCCAGGTCCCCAAAGAGAATGCACCCTTGCCAGGGGATATATCAAGGGTCTCACTGAACTACAAGCTACAGCTGCTGCCACGACACTTCAGATTTCTTGGGTCTAGGGAGCAGCAGATGAGAAGAGGAGTTACCATACTATCAGGGCTAAGTAACCCTAGTTAGCAGGAAGAGGTGGGGCTGTTTTTACACAATGGGAGTAGAGAAGAATTCAGATGGAACCCAAGTGTTCTACTTGGGTGCTTCCCAGCATTCCCATGCTCCATTGTAGCTGTGAGTGTATATGTGCAGCAACGTCAGCCAGAGAAAGATATGACTATCAAGAGTTTGGACCACTCAGGAACAAGGGTTTGGGTCATAACACCAGACAAGCCACTAAGACATAATAGTTGGGGGCAAGGGGAAATGAGAATGGATAGTAAAGGAGGGAGAGGATGGGTGCCAGTTGCAGCCCCGAGATCAACTGCAGTAACAGTGACTATAATTTTCCCCACTAACCTCCATCTTCTAAGTTTCTCTTTAAAAACAGAGTCCCATACAAAGCTTGAAGGAATTGTCTCTTGAACCTATCTGGAGAAGTAGATCTGTGTGGCTCTAGGGCAGCTGTGGAAATGAACTACTCAGATCTCCTGCTGTGGGGATCATAATTAACTGATGGCCCCAACTGCCACCCTCTGAATCTGCTACGCTTCCCATGGGCTGTCTCAGACAATGACTGAGTGTAGCAGGGATACTAAGTCAGATCCATTTCTCAGGATGCAAGACTCCTCTGATGGCCACCTTAACCTCCATTAACCCAGCTGAAACTTTTAGACCTGTGCCTATCCAACCTGTTTTCCTTCCCTCCCTCTTTCACAGAGGTCAGACCTGCATCACAGTCTGACAGCTCTTTCTGCCTCTTCTGGCTTCCTCTCTCTTTCCCCCTCACAGGTATTCTGCCAATAAATCTCATATAAATCTAATTCCATCTTAATGTCTGCTTCTTTAGGAACGTAAACCAACATAGACCTTTCCATAAAACAGATTAAAACTGTAATCCATGATTTCAAAACAAGCTAAGAAAATAATACAAGACATGAAAGAACATGTATCAAAATTAGAAAAAATTCAGAAAAAAGGGTGACATATTCAGGAAAGTTACAAATAAAAGTGAAAATTGTTTAAAAGATAAAGACTAATCTAGAAGACACACAAATGCAAATAAATACAACAAATAATGCCTTAAGATTTTAAAAAGGAAAACAACAAAAAGAAATGAAGAAAGCAATAAAAAGGGCACTACTTGGGATCTTTGATGGTAGAATTTCTTTAACTTCCCAAAATATTATTCCAGTTGCTTCACATCTTCATTACCAAGACTTTCTCTAGATCTAATTATTAGCTCTTTCCATTGGTCATTATACATTTCTAACCAACTTATCCAAACCTTCCTCAAAGAATCTTTCTTATTTTCCTTTACTTAATTGGGGGGGTGGTATTCCTCTTTAATATTGCCTAGTTTCTCCACACTTTTATCTGTTTTTTAAATGTAGAGCCACTAATTGGAAATATTACCCAGGTCAAAGTATGATCAGTGTTAAGTTGGTAGAATTCATGGATTAGGTATGAAATGGGCTCATCTATGCTTTATGGGATTGTGACCTGGTTAAATGACTAGACTCAGCTCCTCAACCTAGCCTATCCTGCTGAGATTTTCCAAGCATGGAAACAAATATGTCACTTTATTAACATCATCAACAAATATTGATTAAGCATTATCAATGTACAAAAAATTATGTGCACTGTTTTAGATGTGTTAAGGACATCCTTGATCCTGAGGAGGCTGATGTGGAGGTTTTTGTTTTATTTTGTTTTTATGGACAACACTTTGGCTTAAGAACAAAGACACATAAATTCAGAACTATGTCAGCTTTTGAGATGTTGTATTATTGAAGGAAGGGAACAATCCTAATTAGGCCAGTGTCAAAATAAATGAAGCCACATCTATGTTGGTAGCTCTAAAGGAAAAGCAGGAGGGACATTCAGAGGCACCACCAAGCTCTCCTGCTCATTACTTCTCAGTCTCCAGTGCTTTGTCTTACTTGGTCCCAAATATCCCCATTTTCAAGTTTGTCTTGGAAATAAGACATGAATTCATAACAAAAATTAAAATGTGATCAAGTTCCCCAAAATGTGATTTAAGTTCCCCAAATACATATGATAATAATAATAGCATAAACACATTGAGCATTTACTTTGGGCCAGACATTATCTTATTAAATCCTCACTCCAATAACCCTGTGAGATAGCAACTATTATTGTCTTGCTACTCTAGAATTCAAATTCAGACTGCCAGCCTCCAGATGCCAAGCACTTTATCCCTATGTTCTGCTACCTCCCTATGTCAAAAAATAATATAGCCAATCTTATGCTATAGCTAACCCACAGTGATATAGTTTATCTTGCTAACACTTGAGCCAGCAATATAAAGTAAAACAAAGTGTCACAAGAAATGAGACTAAGTGTGGCAGCATGAATCAAAGCGGTGGGGTGGTGGGGAAAGAAGGTGAACCTGAAAGGGAGAGCAGTGAGTGGGGCATTTACAACAGCGGTCTTAAGCGCCCCTTAAGTCTCCTTCCAGAGCACTCAGATTATGGAAAGGCCTCCTTTATTAGAAGCAAAGTTTAATAACCCAAATGCAAACCAGACATTTAACTCTCCAACTGATATAGTTCCCCATACTTTATCACATAATTTTCATATTTGGACGCTTGCAGTTACACCAAAGACAATACTGCTACCCATCCAGCCACCAGATTTCTATCCCAAAAGGTTAAAATACACCATAGCTAACTAATGTGTTTGCTATAGGAATCAAGAGGTTAGAGTGGGTAAGTTCTTAATGCTACATGTTAATTGAATATTTCAGAACATTTAGCTTATTGTTCCTAGTTAACTTGTGTTGACTGAAAATAAAAGCACAGTGTGAGCGTTGTGAATTAAGTTTTATTTGGGGGCAAAATTAGGAGTATAGCCCGGGAGACAGCATTTCAGATAGCTCTGCTCCAAAGAGGCAGGGGGTTAGGTCAGTATATATGTGATTTTGGTGAGGGGTGCGGGGGATACCTGCAATCAAACACAAATTTTAAATTATTTATTTATTTATTTATTTGGCCAAGCCACAAGGCATGTGGGATCTTAGTTCCCCAACCAGGGATCGAACCCGTGTCACCTGCAGTGGAAGCACAGAGTCTTAACCACTGGACCGCCAGGAGGTCCCAAGCACACATTTTTGCAGAAGGTTGCTGCTACTCTCGTGAAGGTCACTGCTAGTCATGAGGAGCAGACTTCACCAAGAAAGATTTTAGTGCTTCTCTAGATATGCGGAGATGCAAGAATTGGGCTCATAAAAATCATCTCCTGAAAATATCTAACTCTCTGAAGGTCTTCTCCGCCAGTTCTTCCCAGAGCACAGAGTGCCTCATTCTTGATCTCCACCCTGAACTCCTTTCAGAGAGTGTTAAAGTTCAGCAGCTGCAGCAGCTCATGATTTAATCCTTGTAGAGGTAGATGGCAAGTGCCAACTTGTAGTTGGCACTTGGTAACTTGCATGCTAAGTACCAACATTACGCAGTAGAGCATATGTTTAAAGGTGACGATCAGACTTAGACTGCCGAGGTTTAAATCTTGTTTTCACCTAACAAGCTCTGTGATCTTGGGCGTAATAGCCACCTGAACACTCACTTTCCTTGGGTGCAAAATGGGGTTAAAGTAACCTACCCTATTGAATTGTGGGGTCTAAATGAGGTAGTACAATATAAAAGTGCTTGTCACACTATCTGGAACATAATGTTCTCATGGTGGCTATTTATCTACGAGTCCTGGTTTAATATTAAGAGAAACTAACATGCAAAAAACATTAAATCTAGTATTACCTATTATTCTGTTAAATTCGGACGCCTAAATCTGGCTTTCCTTATTTCACCTTTCCGATACTGCATCCTCTCCGTTTCACACAGGAGGTAAAAATCCCAAGACTTCAGCGTTCTCCAGAAGAGAAAAAGAAGAACACAGGTAGTTAATACAAACAGAAACTCTGCCTGTCTCTGAAGCGTTTCTAGAGACCGCAGCAAACGGCCCGCCCCTTCCCCCTCCCGCCCTCTCGATTTCTGGAAGAGGAGACAAATCCCAACACAGAGTCGAGGCCACCTCACTTCCGGCTCGCTACGTCGGAACTGAGGCGCACGTACGCTCTTCAAGGAGATTTACATATCGATTGCTTATTGGCTACTAGCAAGCACTTGTTCTCCTCATTGGGTGATTCTGCCCCTCGCCGACGTTCCGCGGAGGATGTTCGCCGCGGCGAGTGAGAGGGTCACTGCACCTAAATTTCCGGTTCCGGTTCACCTCTGGCTCCATGGCGACCGCTAGAGGACCGGCGTATCTGCTGGCATTAGGCAGATGGCGCCGCGGCCTCGGAATAGCTCCCCAGTCCCGAGTGAGTGCTTACTTTCCCTGCTGTCGAAGAGGCTGTGGGTCTCAGAAACAGCTCCGCTCCGAGGAGGACCGCTCTCGGCCGCCCCTCCCTTAGCCAGCGTCCGCAGCCATGCTTTCTGCCCCCCAATCAGCTTTTCTTTCCCGGCCTGCAGGCGCTCGCTGCCCTCGTGCCCGGCGTAACTCAGGTAGATAACAAGTCTGATTTCCTGGGGAAGAGGCCCCATCGCCGGCACCCCGGCATCCTGCAGCTGTCGCGCGTGCGGCTGCCGCAAGTATTGGTTGACGCCGCGCAGTTACTGCTGCTGGGTGAGTAACGGGGGGAAATGGAGGCTCGAGAAGAAGCGGAAAGTGGGCCTGCGTACAGGTGATTCCACTTTTCATCTTTGGTCCTTAGAGAGCTCGATGCCCAATATGGAGAGGCAGGTGCAAGCACTGACCAATTATCTCTGGAGTCGGCATTTACCTGTAGAGCCAGAGGAGTTGCAAAGACGGGCTGTCCATCTTGAGAAAAAATTCCTGGAAAACGCAGGTAGGGCTTAAGAATAAAGAGTAGGCCAAATTGAAAAAGCAGAGGGAAATGAAGAGCAAGAAATAATTTCGCAGCCTCTTAAATAGATACTGCAATTTCTTATTTGACTTTCTGGCGAGAGCAGTTATTACAATGATGCCTTACTAAGAGAAGACAGATTATTTCAGAGATTGCGCGTGGGGCTTGAGTAAAAGTCAGTGAGTGCTTCAGTATCCTGTCGAAACTTAGATCTTTGGCTTTGTCCTCCAAGTCCACTGGATTAAGACCATCTAAGTTTTTGTTCAAGTAAAATAAAGTTCGTGTCCAGTACTAAAACCCACTACAGGGAAAGGAGAATAATTTATCAGGTTATTTTTACGGTTATGAGTTGTCTCTTATTAAGAGACCTGCCTTTTATTCATCTTGTATTCTCCGAACTTCTCATAATATCTGGTTCATAGGAGGTGCTCGGTAGATAAAAGAGTACAGAACAAAACACAATCATGAGACTTTTAGTTTTTCAAGCCCCTTTCCTCCCTATAGGAGCATTGGAGACGTCACAATATTAAGTTTTGGGGAGGTGAAGAAATCCACAAAATACTGTGTTTATCCTATCCTTTAAATTTTTGTTACACCTCCTTTTAATATAGAACAAACCTGTGGGATAGAGTTGGTTGAGTTGAATAAACTGCTGTTAGAGGAAATATACTATCTGATACACTTTGGTGGTGGTGGTGGTCATTGTTATTCTTACCTGAAACTTTTCTCTAGGTTTGACTTCTCTCTTAAGCCTTGAGGCTTTTCCCAGGTGGGAATTGGGGATGAATGGGCAGGCAGTCTATTCAGATATTGGATCTGAGCCCTGTTCTTCCTAGGTCCTCACTTCCAGTCCTTGTTCTCACCCCAGACTCATGTCGGATGGAAAAACTTTGTGGAGAAGTGCTGCATGCTCTGCGTAGAACTACCTATCATTGGCAAGAGTTGAGGTAAGGGAGACTAGAAGGGCTGCAGAAGAAGGAGACTTGGGGAAGTACAGTTACACAATTTTGTGTTTGAAAGAAGTGACCTGGCTTGTAAGCCTTCCTAGGACTCTTCTGTGTTGAGAAGTGAAAGTGTTGAGCTGGAAGAGCCCTTTCCAAAGATTTCATTTCCTAAAAGTCAGAGGGTAGCTACGGGATAGAGGTTATTTTCCAGTGGTATGACTCTGGTTTTTCTGGCAGCTACAATGAGGGACTGAGCCTGGTGTATATGGCAGCAAGACTGGATGGTGGCTTTGCAGCAGTCTCCAGGGCATTCCATGAGGTGAAATTCGCTCAGTTTCCTACCGTCAGTTCCCTTATTCATAAAGTAGTCTTCTGGGGTAGGATACTTGGGACGTTGCATGTGCATATATTTTTTTTTAGGAGGTTCTCTATCCTCTGAAAGGAATTTTTGACCCAAGAAAGGTTTAGAAGCACTGTTTTAAGAGCTTTCTATTCTATAAAGCATTTACATTGAATCTTAAAAGGCATTCATATCTCATTTTCTCTGTTGTGGTCCCCTAATTCATGTTTACCAAGCGTCTACTTTCCCCACTGTGGGGTGTTGTATATTTCTTTAGATCCAAGCTCGACTTCCAGAGTTCCAGCCACAAACCTTGATGGACTTTGGCTCAGGTACTGGCTCTGTCACCTGGTGAGTATCTTTCTCTTTCTCTGTCACTTCTAGTTCTAGAGAGCCATGCTTACACCACGTCAATATCAAGAGGCTGGAGAACCAGAGGGAGACTAGGAAAGTTGGGGACTGGAATGTTTCTTCCCTCAGATTAGGCAAGGCATGAGAAGGTATATGGATTAGGGCCAGAACATAAAGAAACGTCAAGTGAAAAGAAGATCCATGATTAGAAGGATAAAAAAGGAAAGGAATTTAGTCTAGGGTGGAGGTTTTACATATCAAGATTTTTTTGTGCACAAATAATTTTTGAGTCTGCCTTTTTTTAAGGAGTTGTAAATGAAACAAGAAAATAACACTACTAGTTTTTCCAACTATTTTAACATAGCACTCTGTTTCTCCAGGGGTGGGTTGGGAACAGAGGGGTCTCTTGCAGGGATGACTCTGTCATGAGAGCTGGCGATTTATTTTTTGCCATTTTAGGGCTGCTCATAGTACTTGGGGCCAGAGCCTACGTGAATATATGTGCGTGGACAGCTCAGCAGCCATGTTGGAATTGGCAGAAAAGCTACTGAAAGGTGAGGACAAAGTATAAGGAGGGGCTTTTCCAAAGTTGAAGGAATTTAAAAAGCAAAGGAGTACAAGAGAGGGTCTTTTATTGGGGAGTAGAGGAGAGGGCTAAAAGTTAAAAATGAGTCTGATCTTCCAGTGCGATAGTCCAGCAGAAGATGCTGGAGGCCTTTGTTGGACTGTGAATGGGTAGGATAAGAATAACAGGACAGGTGACCCAATATTCTCCCGGCCCTTTTTTATAGTTGCTTACTCTATTGCATCTCACCCTCAGCTAGCGTTTTTCTTTGTTCTCGGGGCCATGTTTCTTATCGGAATGTCACTTCAGTTTACACCTGTACACTCATAGTTGCCACATCTCTGTTTCTACAGGTGGTTCAGGATCTGGGATGCCTTATGTGCCAGGTGTCTTTTTCAGGCAGTTTCTACCTGTATCACCCAAGGCAAGTGGCGATGTTTAAAGTATGCTAAATGTGGAGTATGCACATGGAAAACTGTGGCCTTGGCTTTGCAACCTAGCATTAAGTGTTAGAAAATAAAAGAAAGCAGAAGAAATTTAGTGGGATAGACCTTTGTTGTACTCGTAGAAGAGGGAGATGTCATGTCTGTCATGTTCCTTGTCCTGTGCACCAGGTACAGTTTGATGTGGTGGTATCAGCCTTTTCTCTCAGTGAACTGCCCAGCAAGGCCAAGCGCACTGACGTAGTCCAAACCTTGTGGCGCAAGACAGGTCATTTTCTGGTGAGTAGAAACCCCTTTTTCCCTTCAAGTTTTAAAGCAGCTTCATGGGTTTCATGGCTTTCCTTCTCCCCATTGGAGCTTGTCTTCATTCTTGACCATTTTTCTCTTATATAGATCCCTTTGTCCCTCTTGTAGGGTCCCCATCCACATCTTATATATAATGCCCATTTCTTTTAGGATCCCTATTCCATCTGGGAATGTTCCTACAGAGCTGACATTTATGTTTTCATGTACTTTGGTGCTTCTTATTTTCCCCTTTTGTAATCAGATATTGGTGGAGAATGGAACAAAAGCTGGGCACTCCCTTCTCATGGACGCCAGGGACCTGGTCCTTAACGTAAGGTTCTTGCTCCTTTTTTCACCTTACCCTCCATACCCTACCTATTCTCACCAGTTACTAGCATGCCTGTGAAAACTAAAGGGACTCTTGTCATACAGTGGTGAAGATAACTCTCAAAGATAGTAGGCATATGAAGTCATTATGATATAGGGTAGTGGTTGGCAAACTTGGGCCTGTGGGTCAGATCCAGCCTGCCACCTGTTTTTATATGAGCCGTGTTTGTGTGTCTGTGGCTGTATGTCTGTTGTCTATGGCTGTTTTCACAGTACAAACAGCAGTTGAATAGTTAGGAAAGAAACAGATTTTGCCTACTCTCTGGGCTTTTTAAAAAAAACATGTTTGCCGACCACTGATCCAGGGCATTTCTGAGCCGAGAACCTTATCTCTTTGGGACAGTATGAGCCAGTGTATAATCATAAATTTAATTGTTTTATTTAGAATGGGATCTTTTTGAGAGTGGAGGTTGCTGACAAGGGAGAGCACCATATTATGTGCCAAGTTTCTGCCTTTCTCCTGCTGCAAAGAGAAAGTTCTTTGTCTGGAGTATTAAAGAAGCAGCCAGCTTAATTCAAAGAACATAGTTAATAATTACCAGAATTGAATGTTAGAGGAGTCCTCAATTTACTGACTGCAGAGATTGAGTTATGAAAATAGACCCCTCAGGCCCAACCTAATTTTTTTGATTTCCTTTGGTTTCAGGGAAAAGAGAAGTCACCTTTGGACCCTCGACCTGGTTTTGTCTTTGCCCCGGTGAGTATTACTTCTCCCTTTCCCAGCACACAAAGATCTGAACTCAGCTGTGGCCAGGAAAAGTAAGAGAGTAAAGCTAAGCCACCTCCACTACTTTGTGTCCCTATCCAGTTTCTTTCTTAGTGATTCCTCTGGCTTTCCTACCCTCTGCTCCTGTGCTCCCTTAGCCCTTCTTGACTCTCACTCTTAGTTTTTCGGTTTTATGATCTGTTCTTTTGTCTTACCTCGTGTCTTTTGTTTGTGTTCACAGTGTCCCCATGAACTTCCCTGTCCCCAGTTGACAGCCTCTAAGCCCCTGGCCTGTAGCTTTTCCCAGGCCTACCATCCCACCCCCTTCAGCTGGGTATGTACTCTGGGAATACTGTGGTAGGGAGAAAGTAGCCTGGGAGAGCACAATGAAAAAGACTCAGAGGCGGGAGGATTTGGAAAATTCAGAGAATAGCTTGGAGATTTTAGGCCCTGAATGTGCATGACTTATAGAATATGAAAAGCGCTGCATGAATGGGGTTCAAAAAATTTTTTTCCCTTGTCTTTTACCTCTAAGCCATCTCTGTATCCTTATCTTAGAACAAGAAGCCAAAGGAGGAAAAGTTCTCGATGGTAATCCTTGCCCGAGGGTCTCCAGAGGAGGCTAATCGCTGGCCCCGAATCACTCAACCTGTTCTTAGACGGCCACGCCATGTGCATTGTCACCTGTGCTGTCCAGATGGGCATATGCAGCATGCTGTGATCACAGCCCGCAGACATGGCAGGTATAGAGGGTGTGACCAAAATTAGTGGAAGGTAGCAAGAACCTGCAGCCCACATTGACCCTCTGTTTTATATAGGGATTTGTATCGCTGTGCCCGTGTCAGCTCCTGGGGAGATCGTTTACCTGTGATCACGCCATCTGAGCTTCCTCCATCACCTGCTCAAGATCCCCCTGAGAGTTGACAAGGATGTGTAACATGTGTTTTCTTCTATCATGACTGCCAAGGCTGAAGCTACCTGGTATCCAGGATGGGAGTGCTGGTACTTTTACAGCAAAAAACTAGTTAAAATAGCCTCCATTATAGTAGGCCTTATTCTTTTAGCTCACTCGGCCATCCTCTCACAGACGCTTTTCTTTCTTGTTTAATTGCACTTTGCAAATGATTGCCTTCTAGCTAGAATTGTACTATGCACCTGGTGTTTACTCCTCCAAGGAAACACTCCCTAACACTCCCTTCCCTTGTGAGCATTGTTCATTCCAGAAAGAAGGTCACCATGCGATAATCTCAAGGACCACCAGAACCAGTCCGGAGAGGAGAGCACCTAACACGAGCTTTGAAATTTTCCAGAAGTGAAGAATGCAAGCTTGCATCTACCCTGATCCTTATCTATGGCCCTATTTTCCACTTCCAAACTATAAGACCCCTTGCCATTCTCTCTTCAGGGAGGGCACAGTCTTTAGGGCATTAGCCTGCTGTGGCCTCCTTTGCCTGGCAAAGCAATAAAAGCTACTCTTTTATACTTCACCGAAAACTCTGTCTCTGCGTCTCTGTTCAGCACCGGTGAACAGAGGCTGAGTTTCAGCAACAGTACCCCTATATAGCTGTGTTCGCTTAGGTTTTAATAATAATTAAAAGTTTTCAAAGAATGGAAATGGATGTTGTGATTCTTAAAAGGTGTAGAAGTCTGTTGTCATGGCCTATCCTATAATGAAGAGAATCCTCAGATTTTCAGTGTTTCCCACACAAATCTCCAGCTCACCCTGTCCTGGAAGAATCCTGCTGCTTCCACCAGATTCCAGGACTTCCCACGGAGTCCTGGAGATGATCTGGAGTAGTGGGGAAAGCCATCCCCAGCTCCCTGAGAACTGGCTCAACAGGTCTCAGGGTTGTTAGGCAGGCCACCTGAATAGGGGAATCAGCAGCTGCTTGGCTTCTGTTTTTTTCTACCTCCTTTCCTTTCAACTTTCTCAGCTCCCTCAGAGTTCATAAATTTCTCTCAAGAGTTGATTCCCCTCAGGCCTGAATCTATCTCCACCCTCATATATCCAGGCAGGCGCCTTCAGTTTTCCCTTAGGCCTTGCTGTTTCAGAGCTAGAGCAACTTTCTTTGTCCTAAAACTCTCAGTCCCTCTTCTATAATTTATATCAGGAAACAGGCATAGTCAAAAGTTATAACAGTATTGATGTTGTAATACTAGAAATCTTCCTTCTAGACATTTCCATGCCTGGAGCTATTTTTCTGGGGTTACAAGAGAGGGGAGTCCCCCTCCTCTGCTAGTTCCCACAGTGGTGGCAGCTCCACTTCCCAGGCCCTCCTCCTTACCCCAGGTGGCCCCAAATCCCCTCTGAAAGGGTGCAGTTCAGGTATCAGCATAGCAACCTATAAGACTTGAGGTGGGGTAGAGAGGGTGTGGAAGGCTTAGATCAACTGTCCTGAGTGAGGCAGGACCAGATTGTCCCCAACACAAAACAGCTGGGGAGAGCTACCATAGACTCCCGTTTTGGATTAGAACAGCCCCAGACTAGAACTAAGGCTCCACAGCCCTTGGGTTAGTCAGAGCATTGAAAAGGAGGAGAAGACAGCACCAGGCTGTGCCTGGCAGGGAGTCCGGAGTTTCTGATTTCTAAATTCAGGAAGGCGTCAGTCAGGGGAGGGGCCTCCATGTAGGGGAAGGGCGGGAAGCTGGGGCTGGGCAAGTTTTCTATGCAAGGCTGTGCAAGAAGAGTCCACACAGACCAGAAAGAAGACCCAATAGCCTTCTGAAACTCAGGAGAGTGGACGCTCCAGCTTTGACCACCTGAGACACCACTCCTGCTGCGAAGATTGTCACTCCATTTGTTATCCTGAGGCCTCTGCTTACCCTGTACCATAAGGATGGAGCCGCTACTAGGAGTAAAAGTTGGCTGCCTGTTCTCCCTGCTGGTTCTCACTCTGGTCTGTGGCCTTTTCCCCATCTGCTTCAAATGGTTCCAGACTGCCACAGGTACAGCCCGACCATGTCTTTGTCCCCATAACCTAAGTCTGACTCAGCCTTGTCACCCTATCCTGATATCTTGCTCTGATTCTCTCATCATCCCCAAGCTTGGGACATGGGGTGCTGCCTGTGGCTCTTTAGTCATTGTTGTCTGTCTCCTCTTTGCCAGCTTGATTGTAACTCCTACTTTTTATTAGGTCGTCACCGCCGGGTCCTCAGCCTCCTGAGCTGCACTTCTGCTGGCATTTTCCTGGGAGCGGGGTTCATGCACATGACTGCTGAAGCCTTGGAGGGAATTGAATCAGAGATCCAGAAGTTGGTGATACAGGTGAGCAGCAGAGTTGCTGAGCTGCAGGGCTGTGAGGCCAGAATGATGAACAGAACCAGGGAAAGTAATGAAGAAAGGGGGAAAGTAATGAAGCCAAGGACACAGGAGGAACAACAGGGAAGATGACAGCTCTTGCGCGGAATGATGGAAACAGGTCAGATTGGCCTTTAAGGAAAGTGATGGAGCCGAAGGCACAGGACAGGAAGCTGAGCTGCTCTTTCGCTCGTCTAATTTGTGCGTTTTTTCTCCCTAGAACAGCACCGGCAGGGAGGG